TAAAAAAAAGAAAAGATCATATCTAAATCCAACTTAAAAAAAAAAAAGAGAGAGAACTCATAAACCTCAGCACCCAGGTGCCAATGGAGGTTAATTTACTCTTTAAAACTGAGCAATACTCTAGGGTGTCTCATCTGTTAATCTTGAAGGAACATAGTAAAGATGCTAACTCCTCATGGGAAAGGAAAAATCAGATTAGGCCTCAATAAACCAGAGAGGAAAACGAAAGACAAGTTAGGGAAAAGAAGAGCAAAGGAAAGGAAGAAGGTGGCAAGACAAAGATGGGCTAGAGGGATATCAAAGTGCAAGGTCTAGGAAATAAGAAATGTATTGCTAAAACAACCCAGATGAATGAAGGAAAATGCTATCTTAGAGATACAAAGCACAGGACCCATTCTTTCCAAGCTTCATAATGCAGTAAATTAAGCCCATTGCATCACAGCATGTCATTAACAGTTATCAGGCCCCAAGTGAAAAGAGGCATGGATTAGAAAATAAAAATAAAGAACCCAAACTAATAATCCAAAGCACAGAATGCTGCACTAGATGGAAACCACTATCAACCAGCAAGGCTACCCCATGGACCTATATCCCTTGGGTTCTTTACCTGGGGCCGCTGCTTGTGCTGTGTCTGATTTTGGTTTTGAGGTGGTTCCCAGTTTCCCCGGGCTCGGTTAGTGCCCACCGACGTCATCATTTACAGTATATACAAATAACAGTATTTACAAGGTAGAATACTGAAAGATTTAAGAAAAAAAAAAAAGTTTAGATGTTAAATGTGGGCAAAATGTTTTCAACCTCTCTTTCATCAGCACCTTCACCACTTTCACTTCTTTAAAGAGACAAACCAACATTCACCTGTTCTTAAGACAGATTTCCAGTATGATAAATTCCTTAGAGAACTATGACTATTTATCCATTTTTGTAAAACAAGAAATATATACAACATGTGTTGTGATGGTTTGTTTTAAAGTTATGAGCACGATTTGGTTACAGTACCCTATAGGCAGCCTTTGTGAAGTTTTGCTATCTTGATAGTAAGCAAAACAATGTTAATAATCAAGTCTTCCAATAGGTGAAAATACCCAACATCCCTTTGACAGAAGGAGAAATAATCAGCAAAGCCTGGAAACAAAAGCCTTCCAGGAAGGGGATTAGTCTATACTCCAAATAAAAACAATTGAAAATGCTGTACTCAACCTACCTTTGAAAACAGCTTTACCTGCCTTACAACCTTTTAAACGTAAGTTGCATGTGTCCTCCATCATTTGGGAAAGGACAAGCCCAAGCCTAGCCTCTTTCTTCCTCCCTCAAGTTTCTATCTCTCAGTATGATGTGGGGGCTCCCACACCTTTCAGCAAGGCACGTATCAGCCCCAGTGACTTTGCCCAGAATCTCAGTTCCTTGGATAATAATTCTAACACGCTGTTTTTGTGGCTGCTTCTGTTGGTTTCCTAAGTCCGCAGTTCCAAGAAACCAGAATTGCCATTCCCCTCCACCACTCACCTTAATATATAGAGAATCCCAAATTTGTCCCAAACCAAAAGCATCTAGCACAGTTTTATTTGGAAGAAAGTGCTTCTGGGAAGTCATTTTAAACTTGAGACATTACTGCCAGCAAAATGACTTTGTTGAGTCTTTAGAGACATGGAACACACAGGGCCTTCCCAAAACCATATCAGTTTTGTTAGTAACACTTCTAACAAGCAAAGATTCTACTGAATTTAAGTTGCCTTCATTGATACTTTGTTTTATAATGCAATCTCAGCTGTTGCATTTAGTAAACAAAGAAAACATTCATCATATAATGGAGTGCTCAAAATAAGGTTACACTGCATTTTTTACTCCCTGCCAAAGAGGACAAGTTTATACTTTTCTGCTCTATATTGAATTTTTTTTTTCATTAATGATACTTCATACAGGGTAATTCTAAGCTGCCCAGAAGACATTGATGGATTTGAGGGACAGGTAGGCTGGGCTTCTAAAGAAATATGCAAGGATTAATATTAGGAGAGTGAATTTCACCTGTTTCTTGGGTCACAAAGAAAGCCAACTTCCCTGTGGATAAATTCTTCAGCCAGTTGGGTCAAAATGTTACATAGGTCTTTGTCGTTTGATGCAGTCATTAAGAATTGAGTTTTACATTCCCTGTCACCAAGAAATATTTTTAAGGCAAGTGCATGGCTAATTTTGAACCATTACCTCTTCTCCCTACACAAATGTGCACAAAAAGGCCTGTGAATATGTATATGTAGTACAGGATTATTTGATACACTGTAGTCCATTTTCCCAGGCTGCCATTATTGTTAAGTTCCAACACTTAATTTACAATAAACAAGTGTTATTCAACCAAGTATGCCTGGATTCAAATCAAACAGAAAAAAAGAAAGAAAGAAAAAATATCAGGCTTTATTATAATTGACTCTAAGATGAACATTCTAACATGGGAGTGGCCTCTCCTGTAACTTACAAATATTGATTGCTTTCTACTCATCATGTGATTTCAATTTGTGAGCATGAGTTACACTGTGGATATGAATTTCAGGACTACCTGTATGGACAACTGCATGTACAGTACCAATCAATGTAAATACATTAAAAAGTCATTTTGAAAGCCACACAATTACTCAGGAAAAGGGAAAAAAAATCCTCCTAATCACTCTTGCTATTAGCTTCCATTTCTCTCTTACAAATGCTTTGAAATGTGTGACTAACACAATTTTACCACCTAGGTAGTAACAACACTGACCAAAAGATCAAAAGTAAGTGATGTGGGATGGATCACTGGAGGGCACAGAATTAGTAGCCTTTTAGTAGCAAGCAGAGACACATACCCAGAGTTATCACAGTGGAGATGAGGAATCTTGTTAAGTACTCTTTCTTAAAACATAAAAATATTTAAGGGAAGTAGGTGACAAGTATTGGAGACCAAGGGAATAGTGCAGGAACAAATACAGATTTCAACACAAGAGTGCCCTTGACTGTTTTCTGAAAACCAGCTACTTAAAAAAATAGCCAGAGAAATTTTACAGAAAAAAATAAATAACAAGTATTTATTGAGTATCTACTATGTGTCCAATACTTTAGAAAATACAAAAGCAATATGACTTGGTTGCTGCCCTCAGGGAGCTTACAATCTAATTTGAGAAACAATTCAGAAACTATGAAGCTGGAAGGGGGGTGGGTAAGGCTTGCTACCTCTAACAGAGCAACTAATTCCCCTAGATGCTCTGTGGAAATGATCCCTGCATCCCCTTCCCCATCAACTTGAATCTAATTTTAAAAAGAGTACTTCCCAGTTAGGACACATTTGGCAACAAGGGGCTTTAAAAATCAAAATCCAAACAGTACATTTTAAGGCCTTTCATCATTAGTTTACATGCCAGCAACACTTCCCGACTTCCCATTCACAACGGAAATAATCACTGGGATAGTCTAATCTTTAAGGACAATGGTTGTAGGATCTCAAAGCAGTTTTAACAACCCATACACAGCCAAAACGTTTTACTTCTCCTGTATTTCAGGTTGTCACTTGACCCTCATCACATCCCAGCAAGTCACATCAGACATCCATCCCCAAAGAAGAATATGGGTGGTGGAAGTGGTTGGGGAGAAGACAAAAAGGATTTCTCCATCTAATAATCAGGGACAATCAAAGGCAAAAGGGGTAACAATAACAACAAAAAAAAGGCCTGTTACTGTGGTGTTTTTCTTTCCACAACATCCTACACCAGAGATGGCTACATTTCAAGAACAGTGGAAAAGGAGCGGCCTCCTGTCTGTGACATCAGTTTGCAAAGCAATTTAAGGACTGTCCACAAGGTGAAGGGTCGAAGAAATTTGGAATTCCTGTCCCATTATAAGAAGAGTGAACACATACCCCACTGTTCTAATGACGTCCCTTAGGCGCAATATACCCGATGGGGGCCTCAGGCCCAGCTTCCCAAATAACATCATTAATTGTTTGGGGTACCCAAAACTACACTATGGAAGACAGGAAGCTAAAGACAGCAGCAAAAAAATATATTCCAAGAGCTGGAGCGGTGAGCAAGAAGGAAAGGTAATAAGAGGAGCTGACAAAGAGGCTGGAAACGGAGAGGGGACGCAAGCCCACGCGTGGAGGATGGGAGGCTCACCCCGCTCAGCGCCACATCGGGGGCTCCCGGGGCCAATCGCCTCCTTACCTCCCACCCGGAACAAATTAATCCTCCGCACTCCAAACTGAGGGCCACATGGGGGAGTTTGGGGCAGCTCCACCCCATCGCCCTCCCTCCCCCCCACATACACCCCGCCACCCCCAAACCAGGCCGGATCCGGATCAGAGGAGGCCCGCAGAGGGTTGGAAAAGGAGGAGGCCCTCTCGTCTTCTCCACAGGCACCGGCCAGGGTAGAGAGAGGGCCCTACCTCAGGCGGGGCCCAGGCCTAGCTCGCTCGCGCTCTTTCTCGCTCTCCCCCCTCTCAGGCTCTAGCCGCATGGCCCCCCCCTCCGGCTGCCCCAAGCCCCGCCCCGGCCACGCTCCGAAATCGAGGCCCCGGCTCTGGCGCGGCCCACTAGGCCGCGAACCCAACCATAAACAAAACCTCCAGCGGCCGACTGGGGGGGGGAGGGGGCAGGGCTAGCAGGACTAGGAGGGGGTGTACAGTGGGGAACACACGGTGCGGGGGGGCCTACCGAGGGAGGGGGATACGGCGGGGGTAGGAGAGAAAGGAGGGAGGGTAAAAGGGGGATCGTGGATTTAAAGGGGCCGCGGACAATACCCGGCCCCGCCGCGCTGCCGCCGCCACCGCCGCCGCCGCCAACGCCGCTGCGCTCCCAACTTTACCTCAGTCTCCTCCACACTGACACCCCGGGCCGCGCCGCCCCTGTCACGTGATATAAGGTTCCCTCCTCCCCACCCCCCTCCCTCTTCCCTCTTGCGCTCGCTCTCGCGCCTTCCCCCTCCCACTTGCCTTCCTGCGTCCCCCAGCACGTGACGCGAAAAAGGACGCGCACGCAAGCGTGCGCGTGCCGCCTCGCCACGAGACACCTCATTCCGGCTCCGCGCGTCCGCCCCGCCTCCTCCGCGGCGGCCCCGCCTCCACCACGTGACGCGCGGATAGCCTCCGTTTCCTCTTACTGGCGTAGTTCCGCGTCTCCGCACTCGTCGGTCCCGGTAGTCATTGCGTGCCTGAGTCACGTGCTGGGGGGAAGCGGGAAGGCGTCGTTCTTCTTTCCTAACCCCCCCCCGTCCGCCATGTTTTCAGGCCCGGTCAGCCTTGGTCTTTCCCCGTAAGGAAATGGCCGGGGCGCTTCAGGGAACCCAGGCGCCGTTGCCTCGGCGCAGCCTGGGCTGACGGGGCAGGGCAGCGGGGTAAACCGGAGCGGTTCTGCGCGGGGTGGGGAGGCCATGGCGTCCGGCAGTAACTGGCTGTCCGGCGTGAATGTCGTGCTGGTGATGGCCTACGGGAGCCTGGTGAGGAGATTCCCCCACCCCATTTCCTGCTGTCGCCTCAGACCCAGTAGAGACCCTCCTCTTGAGCAGTTCCCGGTCCTCATTCTCCACCCACTCACCTGCGCTTTTTCTGGGCTTTGACTCCTATCCCAGGAGTACCTGGGAGCACAAGTCACCGACCGCCCCGCCCCTGGCCGAGAACCCTCCCCCTAAACCCTAGGATAAAGACCCCCAAGCCTCTACGCTACAGGCTTATCTATGTCCGCGCCATCGCTGACGGCCTTGCTTTGTCCCAACTTATACCCCGAAGCATTCGTGAGAGGCCGAATTGAGGGATTTGAAATGAAGGCATGCCTTTTTTTTGTCTGACTTTTTAATTCAAGGTTATTTATTTCTTATATCTTTTGGACAGGTGTTTGTACTGCTATTTATTTTTGTGAAGAGGCAAATCATGCGCTTTGCAATGAAATCCCGAAGGGGACCTCATGTCCCTGTGGGACACAATGCCCCCAAGGTAGGTCCTTAAGTCATGAGATAGGCCCGGTTCTCCAGATCCATTAGGGCCCAGAATGAGATTTCCTTTGCCTTTAGAAATGACTTAATTCCCGTGTTTCCTTGTCCAGTTACTCATGTGTATATTAGTATATTGAGCAATAAAGGTCATCTTGGGTCTTGGCTTACCTGCTCACTGCCGTGGCACAGCAAGTAGCTTATCCAGGGACTTCAGTTTCTGCATCTGCAGAATGAAGGACTTGGATGAAAATTCCCAACTCTTTATGGTATGATGTTTCCCAGTTCAATTTAAACTACCCAGTGTTTAATGTTTTGGGTTTTTTTTTTTTGTTTTTTGTTTTTTGATTTAGGATGGGGTTAGAGTGGTTAGAATTAGCCCCAGATCAGTGAGAAGGGTTGCCATTGCAAAACTTTAGATTTATAAGGGCCCCATAAATCATCTAGTTCTATCATTCATGTTACCAACTGAAATCTAAGAAAAGGAAGCAGCTTACTGGAGGACATACAGGAAGTGAATAACCAAGCAGTCTCTGTACTTTCTCCTTAGGTAATTGCTTTCCTTACCTTGGCTTTAAATATCTACTGTTGAAATTTTATTTCTATCCCATTCCTCCTTCCTGAGTTCCATCCTGTGTATCCAATTGCCTACCTAACATTTCCAATTAGATGTCTGATAGGCATCTCAAACCTAACATGTCCTAATGCCCCACTGAACTCTTAATACCCCCAACTGCCACCCCCATCCTGCTTCTTCTGCCTTACACTTCTGGGTAAAGGTTGCCTGCTGTCCTTACCAACCTCCTTTTGTATGGCTTTCCCCTGATCACTGGGATCCAGCTACACTGGTTGAATTTCTTTATGTGTGCTGTCACTGTGGCCTAGAATGATCTACCTCTGGTTTTCACTTGGCTGGCTCATTTGATCTTTAGAACTTACCTCAAATACTATTTCCTACAAAGAGGAATGCTTATGACCCATTATAAAGTAGATCTTCTTTGTTTTCAGATAGCATTTTACTACAAATATTCTTTTATGTTTATTTGTTTAATGCCTCTCTCTTCCCTAAGCTGTAAGAATGTATACACCATGTCTGTTATGTTCACTGCTGTAGAGCCAGGGCCTACACATAGTAATAATTCATTGTTGAGTGAAGAGCAGGTTAGTGGGAGGGCTAGAGCTAGGACACAATTCTGTCAACTCCTAGAGCAATGTCCTTTCATTAACTAGTACTGTAACCCTCCTCTCATTGTTCTTTGCTGATATATTTCATGGAAAGCCTCAAAGATGATATTGTGGCCTGAAACCTCAACAGTGCTTCCACATTCTCTCAGTTCTCCAAATGCCAGCTGCCTCCCATAAGAAGGATATAGGGTTAGTTTCCAGTATGTCATGAGCCAATCAAACCTTTGACTATTTAGGACCCCCCAACCTCAGACTAGATGAGATCAAGATTCCTTTTGCTCTAAAAAGTTCTGGCTAAATTCTCGTCCATTGCTGGTGGAAGTACAGACTAGTAAAAGTGCTTTGGAAAATATTGGGGTATTGTCTAGTAAGGTTGCAAATGTACCTAATCCATAGCTCAGCAATTCCACTCCTACCATAGAGAAATTAATTTTTGTTCATGTGTACCAGAAAACATGTACAAGAATACTCACAGCATTATTTCTAATATATATTTTTTTAAAGCTGTTACTTTAAATGTCCATTTGAGAATGGATATATAATAACGTAATAGTATTCTTGAATACTATAAGGAATGAAAATAAACTGAAGATAAGTATATGCACACAAGTGAATCTCCAAAATACTTTTGAATGGAAAAAGTAAATCACAAACATGAATGAATCTCAAAAATATGCCAGGTGAAAAAGTGCCAGAAAGCCATTCACAAAAGAATACGTACTGTATGATTCCATTCCATTTGTATGGAATTCTAGAACAGGAGGAACTATATTGATAGAAAGCACATCAGTGTTCCCTGGGGCGTGAAGCGGGAGGTTGCCTGCAAAGGCAAAGATGAAGAACGTTTTGGGGTGTTGAAAGTGTTCTGTATCTTTTTTTTTTTTAATAAATTTATTTATTTACTTATTTTTGGCTGCATTGGCTCTTCGTTGCGATGTGCAGGCTTCTCTGCAGTGGCTTCTCTTGTGAGCACGGGCTCTAGGCACGTGGGCTTCAGTAGTTGTGGCACATGGGCTCAGTAGTTGTGGCTCACGGGCTCTAAAGCACAGGCTCAGTAGTTGTGGTGCACGGGCTTAGTTGCTCCACAGCATGTGGGATCTTCCCGGACCAGGGCTCGAGCCCATGTCGCCTGCATTGGCAGGCGGATTCTTAACCACTGCACCACGGGGGAAGTCCAGTGCTCTGTATCTTGATTGGGATAGTGGTTGAATGGATGTATTCATTTGTCAAAATTTGTCAAACTACACACTTAAAATGGATGTATTTTACTGCGTGTGAATTAAACCTCAGTAAAGTTTATTTAAAACTTTAAAAGATAGGTTGCAGAGCAATTCAAAAAGTATTTTTCCAAAAAATATATATATATATTTCTTCCATTTGTATAAAGTTCAAAACCAGGCAAAGCTAAATATCTTCCTCAGGGTGACGTGATAAAACAGCAAAGAAAAATAAAACTTGAGAAGTTAAGGTTGGAGGTTGCATTCAATCGGGTGGATACACGAGGCTTCCAAGTCATTGGTCATATTCCAGTTCATAAATTGGATAGTGCATACAGGTGTGCATCTTAATGAATTTTGTAATTAAGGTGTGTATATATGTCAAATGTATTCTACGAATGACATATTTCACAATAGAAGTTCCTAAATGTCACAATAAAATACTTGCTGGGACTCTGGCAACCCTCTTAAGACAGATGAATATGAAACTGTTAACAGTGTTTGCTTCTGGGTAAGTGGGGGTGACACCTTTCGTATCTTTTTGAATTACCTACTTAAAAAATTAAATGCCCTCTAGAAGAAAGCCTCTAGAAATCCTGTGGTCCACCAGGTAGGGATAGTTCCCAAACTTCTAAACCACATACAGATCTTATAGGTTTTTAAAGTAGATTATGACCTCCAGTTGATGTCCATTTTTTCCCAGCTCAGGAAATTCTTTATGACACCTAATCAAGATTCTTCTAAATCCTGTCAAGGGAACTTCCCTGGTAGTCCAGTGGTTGAGACTGCACTTCCACTGCAGGGGGTGCGGGTTTGATCTCTGGTGGGGGAACTAAGATCCCGTGTGCCACTCAGCGCCCCCCAAAATTTCAGTTGAAAATCAGAAATAATGGTGTAGAGCTTGAAGGAATTCTGGCAGGTTAAAAGATCTAGCTTAGAGATAGGCAGTTTGGAGAGGTTCTTAGCGAACCCAACCCCATTCTTTATTAAATTCTTGAGTCTTACCTGGCAATTTCATTAGCCAAATGAGCATTTTCTCTGCTTCTGTTGTCTTAGTTGTTCACCTGCTCTGCCCCATTTCCAGACTGATGGGAAGCAAAGTACAGGCTAAGTGACTGTGTATTCTTTTCTCCACATGAACAGGACTTAAAAGAGGAGATTGATATCCGACTATCCAGGGTTCAGGATATCAAATATGAACCTCAGCTCCTTGCAGATGATGACGCAAGACTGCTACAGCTGGAAACCCAGGGAAATCAAAGTATGCAGCATGCTTTTGGAGGATACTTCAGTGAGGGGTCTCACAAACTCAGAATTCCTTTGCTCTCAGAGTTATAAACATAGCTGCTGGCAGACTCAGCAGCTGTGGGTCCTTGTTACTGGATATATGTCAGATGTGGGAGGCTCTTTAAGCTTCCTGGGGTTTGGAGAATCTTTTGAGGGTTATACCTGAGACCAGTCTCTTTCTTAACAGATTGCTACAACTATCTATACAGGATGAAAGCTCTGGATGCCATCCGTGCCTCTGGTAAGGGCTGCTCAACAGCTGTTCCAGATCCTGAAAGCTCACCTGGGGAAGAGAGGGAGGAACGCACTTTATGTGTTAGAATTTATCCTTTCTGCACATCTCCGGCTGGTAGGAATTTCCTAGTTTTGAGAGTACTGGGTTACTATTTTACCTAAGGAAAATGATGTATGTAAGTTATTTTTCTCCAAAGAATCTGGATTTGTTTTGTTCTTTCTAGACCTTTAGTTTCATGAACTAGATGGTGGTAATTTCCTTGTTTTCCCACAAAAGACAGGCAGCATCTGCTTTTTCACCAAGCCTACTTAGATGGTTCTTGAATTCTTTTCTATATGACCATTGTCAGAAATGCTCTTGAATTTTTTTCATATGACCATTGGCAAAAATGCTCTATCTCTACCAAAACATAGTTTATATCTTAAACTATGGGTAAATAGGAGGGTAAATAAGAAAATGACACTATTGTGTGTCGTTGGTATAGTTTTAACAGTTGTATTGCCACCACCATATGACCACTCAGACATAGCTCTATATCTCTGGTCTTCTGAATTCTCTTAGAATTTCCCCCCAACTCACTCATTGGACCTATTTGTAAGTTTGGGAAATTAATTAGAAAGACTAAACAAATGGGAAACGGGGTATCATTGTTCTCTTATCTCCATAGAGATCCCATTTCATGCTGAAGGCCGGCATCCCCGTTCCTTAATGGGCAAGAATTTCCGCTCCTATCTGCTAGATCTTCGAAACACTAGTACTCCTTTCAAGGGTGTGCGCAAGGCCCTCATTGATACCCTGCTGGATGGCTATGAGACAGCCCGCTATGGGACAGGGGTAAGCCAGATGGCCACTTTTTCCTTCAGGGAACTAAAGGGATGCCCCAGACTGAGAGATCCTCATTCTTCCTTCCTCTTTCTTCAGGTCTTTGGCCAGAGTGAGTACCTGCGCTATCAGGAGGCCCTGAGTGAGCTGGCCACAGTGTGAGTTTGGAGGGGAACATGTCAAAGGGAGCTGGTTAGAGAATACAGGTAGTGCTGGACTGTTCCCACAGTGAGATGACCTTCAAAAGCACTGTGAACAAAATCTATGATAACATAAGAGTTGTCAGGTCCTAGACTGTTACAGCAGCTTCTTGCTCACATTGGAAAGCAGATGCTGCTCTACAAGCTAATAAGAGAAGTTTCTCCTACTATTGTGCATCTCTTTTTCTCGTTTTTGTTTTTTGTCCAACTCAGTAAAATGTCAGAATTGGTATAACCTATTACACCAATAAAGGGAATAAAATAAAGTTTTTCAGCACACAAAGATGCCTTCTCTTCAGGGCCTCAGTGTCATCCTTTTGTGCCTTGGATCAATAAAAGAATTAAATGCCAACCATTTTTATTACCACTTAAAGTATTAGTAACCCTATCTGAAACAAAAGGTATCACTAAAGAATCAGCTGCTGAGGGCTTGTGTTATAGAAGAGACATCATGATTTTTCTCTGGGAACTTTTTTTTTTTTTCCCATTTATGTTATGACCACATCACAATTCCTCTTTTTTTTTTTATGTTATGTATTTTTTTTTTATTTATTATCTTTTTTGGCTGTGTTGGGTCTTCGTTGCGGTGCACAGGCTTCTCATTGCAGTGTCTTCTCTTGTTGCGGAGCACGGGCCCTAGAGCATGCGGGCTTCAGTAGTTGTGGCTCTCAAGCTCTGGAGTGCAAGCTCAGTAGTTGTGGCACACTGGCTTAGTTGCTCCACAGCATGAGGGATCTTCTCAGACCAGGGATCAAACTTGTGTCCTCTGCATTGGTAGGCAGATTCTCAATCACTGCACCACCAGGGAAGTCCCTTGTTGGGAACATTTTAAATACGTACTAACAAACCTTCATTATGTTGTTTATGCATACGTGTAACTGAGAGAGTAAAGAGGGAAAGCCAGTCTAGAATAAAAAGTACCAGCCATGAAAAGAATACATCTGTTTTCTGCTGTGTTGATTATGGCTCTTTCTCAGAAGATAAGGGTTATATCTGTCCTGTCTTCTCTCTATTCTTAAAAATAGATTACCTTGTTCTAAAGACAAAAGGTCCTAGTAAAAACTACTTAGAAAACTAATGAAAATGAACATGTGGAAAGGATGGAAAGGAGCATTTGGTCTAGAAGTCAGGCAGGAGGCCTGTTCAAAATTCAGTTTCTTTGAAAGACAAATAGTGTATGATTCCACTTATGTGAGGTATCTGGAGTAATCATATTCATAGAGACAGAAAGTAGAGTAGTGGTTGCCAGGGGCTGGAGGAAAGGGGGAATAGGGAGTTGTTTAATAGGCAGAGAGTTTGTTTTACAAGATGAAAAGGTTGGTTGCACAACAATGTGAACGTACTTAACACTGCTGAACTGTAAACATTTAAAAATGGTTAAGATGGTAAATTTTATGTGTATTTTACCACAATTTAAAAAAAATTTAGTTTCTTTGATCTCTAGTTTCTAGAAAGTTTCAATGAGTATATTGAAGAGTAAAGGCTCTGAAATCTGACAAACTTAGGTTTGAATCCCAGCTCTCTGTCTCTTAACTAGCTTTGTGACCTCAGGCAACTTACTGGATGGACCCTCAGTTTCCTAACCTGCAAAAGGGGATGATACCACCCTATAGGAATAGTGGGATGTTAGTAAATTACATGTTGGTAAAGCACCAGGTTTAATGTCCTAATAAGTGCTCAGTAGTTAACTTCAATATTATTTTTTGTTATTCAGTTGTTTCAAGGGACTGGGAGTATATTAATGGCATGCACACATTAGGTGGATCAGCAGAATTAAAAGTTTTCTTTAAGCACAGTGAAATGAAGAAGAGATTGAGTCAGAGGCAGGGACTCAGTGGGAAAATTGGTTTCTCTGCTATTTCTAGGCTACCAGATGAGATTTTAGTAACTAGTTTATAAGGTAGGACAGAGACCATTTGTGGCTACAGCTGCATTTATAGGATGGATAAGCCTTGAATTGTTTTCTTCCATTAGTCCTCATTCTGTCCATGACCTGCCCTCTTTGTATTCTTCAGCGTCAAAGCCCGAAGTGGGAGCTCTCAGCGACAACATCAGTCAGCAGCTAAAGACCTAACCCAGTCTCCTGAAGTCTCCCCAACAACCATCCAGGTGACATACCTCCCCTCCAGTCAGAAGAGTAAACGTGCCAAGCACTTCCTCGAATTGAAGAGCTTTAAGGACAACTATAACACACTGGAGAGTACTCTGTGATGGAGCTGAAGAACTCTCACTGTTGATGAAGCCAGACAGACTGCAGTGTGCTTGCCAGGCAGCCCTTAGGTCAATCTGGCTCAGCAGCCCGGACTGGATCAGCTGAAGCTCTGGTTAAGTTCAGAGCTCTTAGAGTTCATGCCTAGAGGATCATTCTCCCACCCTCTCTTACGGCCAGTTTCAGAACATCAGTTAAGACTTTATTTTCCCTTGGTTGCACTTTTCTCTGGAGTTGAATTCAGATGTTTTTCTTAATATTTCTGTTAAAGCTTCCTTAGAAATCCTCACTTGGTTTTAATCATGGTTCATCTGTCCTTTTCCAGACTATAAATAATCCCAAGGGTGAGAGTTGGGATGATGGGACTTGGTGTCTTCTGTATCTATCCCTTCAAACACAGTTGAATGGGAACCATTTGAGACATCTAAGTTCATTGGTGGGAAAGGTATACAGGAACTGGTGGGGAGATTGGGTGAGGCCATGAGTGGTATGTGGAACAACTTACCCTGGTGCTCCACTTAAACCAGGATGTGTCGAAACATTAACACAACTTCCCTGGCGTGCAAGGATCTGCCTTCTACTTTCATTCCATACTGCCATGAATAAAGTGAAAAGGGAGTGTTTTGATACCTGACAATCCCATCCCTCCTCATGTGTGGGGTAGTGTGAAGGAATGGTCAGACCAATATATTGGTCTGACTTTATATAAACTATTTAATAAAATGAACAATTAAAGAATAAAGCATATGATTCATTCCTTTATAGTTGTCTTTTAACAAAACAGGCATGTGATATGCTCTCTGGACTTAGAACCATACAGATACTGCTTGGGACCACAAAAGAAGAAATCCTGAAATGTGACTGTGGTCCTTGCTCATAGAATTGCCTGTGTCACTAATAGAAGGCTGGAGAACCAGGATTCCCTTCAGGTCGCCAGGGCAACAGGCCAGGTGACCAATCAACTCCTAGGCCTAGGCTCATTGTTGGAGGTGTAAGTGTTGCTATGACTACTGAAACCTTGGTGACTGAAAACAAAGTAGAGCCTGTTCAGCCTGCTAATACTACATCAAGCAAGTTTGTAGACATGTCTGTGGAAAAGATGGTAAAAGTAGAAGTATGCAGAGTTGGAAAAGGGGCTGGTTTGGATGCATTTCCCTGAATGAGGTTTCCAGATTAATTTACCAGAAATGGACAGATGTAACAGAAGGGTAGTAGCAGGAGTGGGAGATGATGTCTGGCACATAGTAGGTGTTCAGATATTTGTTGCATACTAACCACTGCATGTTACCTTTGATCCATTCTGAAAGGAGTAGGACTTTCTCCCCACCTCCCCTAGGAAATTGGCTACTCCCTGTCTCTAAAGGGAGAAAGGTCTATGTGTCTCCCACTATGATAGGGTACTGAGTGAGGTACTGGAGATCAAGGCAGATCAACAGAACTCCCTTTTCTTGCAGAGTTTTCAAAGGGCCCTGGTACTTAAGAAGACGGTGGACAGGTAATCTCTGCTTCTATCCCTTCCCTTAGCCTTCAGATTGACCTTTTCACCCTCCTGTCCTGAAGCCACTTCTGAGATCTGCTCCATCTTGTTAGGGGCTCGTCAAGAATGCAAACAGGTATGGGAGGGGCAAGAAGCAGTCCTTATTCTCACAAGCAGAGATCAGCCTCCTAGTGCCCACTCGGTTAGGCTACGTAGGCAATGGTTATTGTCCCTTGCTTCCCATTCTCTGAAGGAAAATTGGAGCAAGTTTTTGTTGTTTTCTTTTTTTCTTTTTTAAGGAAAATTCAAGTATTTGTTGCCCAGCATCGCACTAACCATGTGGTAGGTATGTAGTAGGTATTTATTGAATGAATGAATGAGAAAACTCAAAAGATTAGGCTGTATATCTCCATCACCTGGGGAGCATTTTTTTCTTGTTTTTTTTTGCGGTATGCGGGCCTCTCACTGTTGTGGCCTCTCCCGTTGCAGAGCACAGGCTCCGGACGCGCAGGCTCAGCGGCCATGGCTCACGGGCCCAGCCGCTCCACAGCATGTGGGATCTTCCCGGACCGGAGCATGAACCCGTGTGCAGGTGGACTCTCAACCACTGCGCCACCAGGGAAGCCCTGGGGAGCTTTTTTAAAAAACACACGTCTTAACCCAGAAGATTCTAAAATGGTCTGGGATTAGATAGGATAAGCCTGTTTTTTAAGGTTTCATAGGTTATATCCAGAGGTAGCAAGGATGTGAGGTAACAAGAATGCATATAGTTTTAGTGGAAATCAAGATTGATGCAGCCTTTTTTCTTTTAATTTTGTTTGTTTATTTTTGGCTGCGTTGGGTCTTCATTGCTGTGCGCAGGCTTTCTCTAGTTGCAGTGAGCGGGGATACTCTTCATTGCAATGCGTGGGCTTCTCATTGTGGTGGCTTCTCTTGTTGCAGTGCACGGGCTCTAGGCGCACAGGCTTCAGTAGCTGTGGCATACAGGCTCAGTACTTGTGGCTCTCGGGCTCTAGAGCGCAGGCCCAGTAGTTGTGGTACACCAGCTTAGTTGCTCCATGGCATGTGGGACCTTCCTGGACCAGGGCTACGAACCCATGTCCCCTGCATTGGCAGGCAGATTCTTAACCACTGTGCCACCAGGGAAGTCCCTGATGCAGCCTTTTTTATGAAGCCTTTTTTATGAAATCTATCAAAATTTTAAATTCACATATCCTTTGAACTGGCAACTCTACTTCTAGGAATTTACTTTACACACATATACCTGCAAAAAGCACTAGAATGTATATACATGAGTATTCATGACAGCATTGTTTATAAAAATAAAAAAGTTAGAAACAACATGTAGCTGGTTAAATTATGATACAAAAATACTAGACAGCCTTTAAACAGAACAAAGTAAATCTCTTTGTGCTGATATGGAAAGTCCAAATTGTTAAGTAATACTGCTTATGTAAACATATGATTTCATGTTTAAAAAAATTAAAAGATAACACTTGCTGATATAGAGAAGTTTTCTGTAAGGATATACAGGAAACATAACTTTGTTGAGAAGGACTGGGGCAGAAGAATGAAGCTTTCACTTTTCGTTTAATATATATTTCTGTATCAATTTAATTTTTCAGCCATCTGTAAAAAATACTTGATTTTTTAAAAAAATGTCAACAGGATTATCTGAACAGAGGGTGTGTGTGTGTGTGTGTGTGTGTGTGTGTGTGTGTGTGTGTGAGAGAGAGAGACATACATATATTCCTCTTATATATTAGAAAACCTTAATTCAGACCTAGCCAGGACTGAGTATCACTGGTATGATGGAAGGAATTAATCCTTAGATTGGATTTGATACCCAGGTCTGCCATTAAGTGACCTTGGGCAACTCACCTGAACTTTAAGGTTTCCTTGTCTGTATAATGCAAAAATTAATATCTATGACACATGGTTATTATGATGATTGAGTGACATAATATACTAGGTTCTAAGTCAGTTCTAGTTATCCTTTCAAGGAGTTTGCAGTCTTCTCACGATGGCACAGAAGTTCTGGTGAAGCAGCAGCCTCACTGATGTCATCTTTGTCTCCACTCCTGACTTTAACCCATTCAACCCCTACCTTTCTGCCTGGGACAGGTGGCGTAATTCACACACTCACTGTCTGTGGCAGATGACATTAAGCCAGAGGAGAAACCCATATGCCATCCTAAGGATGCAGGACACTATGGTGCAGGAGTTGGCACTGGCCAACAAGCAATTACTGATGGTGAGTTCTAGCAAGGGTGACCTGAAGTTTCAGCCCCTACTGCCCTGTGCCTTTGCCCACTGGGATTCCCAAGCTCTTAGTCTCTGCCGTTATACCAGAGCAGCAACTCTTTAACTGTAAAACCAAAGCTCCTTTTCATTGATTTTTTGCATCCAGTTGCAGAGTCCCAAACTGCAGTCTAGTCTTTGCTCCTCTCGCCTTGGTAAGACTGCTTCTTAGTGCCTAATACCTGCCTCTTGGAACCTCTCTCTCCCTGGAGTCCCCAATTGCTGCCATGTCACCATCTTTGTATCCAAGGTGCCTAGAAAGGTTTCTGGTTCATGGTATGCTCTCAGCAAATATTTGCTGAACATTGGAGCTTCAACCATGGGGGAAAAAAATGGGTAGGCTTCCCCTCCAATGGTTCAGCCTCTATGCTACTGCCTAGCTTATGTCACAGCTAAGTCCAGATCCAAGAGAACACAGGTGATGGGAAAGCAACCAGGGAGAAAGAATGAGAAAGGTGGGTAAACAGAGGGCAAACATGACACTCTATTCTCCCCTCCCCACCAGGTCCGTCAAGCTGCCCTGCACCAGCTGTTTGAAAAGGAGCATCGGCAGTACCAACAGGAACTAAGTCAGATGGGCAAAGCTTTTTATGTGGAGAGACTCTAATGGCATTTGAAACATTGTCCTTCCATTCTCACCATACCTGCTAACCTAGATTTCTTGAGCCCCACCACCTTCAGCTTCCTTCCCAAAACTCACCTGGATCTAGTTATGTGCCCAGGACTCAAGACAGTGCTCCAACCCTCACCTCTGGTGCCCCTGTCAACCCCCTGGTGCTATAGGGAAAACAATCTATGAAACAATGGTAAAAACAAGAGTGACGCCTTGTGGTCAGAATGACATATGCAGTGTTGATGTAAGTGGGGGGAGGGGAGGTGGATAGAGGCACAATGTGAGAAGCGAATCCTGATTTGGTTTAACAAATAAAGCTAGTTCTTAAAGGTTCAAACCTGGACTACTGGCTCATTCTTTCAGCCCTAAATCTTGATCTGTTTCAAAAGTGCTTATTCACAGCTGCCATAATCTTAATAGAGCTTTCTGGATTTTGCTCACCACCTCTCTGATCTCACTCCCACTGATTTTTTCTGTGTACTTGGACAAATAGCTCTGAATATGGCTATTAATCCACAGGTACTATGGTGCTTGATGTCAGTAGGCCTGGATTTTAGGTTCTGACTTGGCAGTTATTGTGAGACCTTGGACAAGTCTCTTTCATCTGGATTTCTGCCTGAATTCCCACCTTGGCAAAATAACAGGGTTCCAGACTCAAATGCCTTCAGTAGTCCAGCAGTTATAAGGGAATAAGGGATGGTGGGATTTATGGGGGACTGGAAAGAGCATGTGAAATCTAAATGATTTCAAAATTCTTAAAAGTACTGATTAATCTATAGGCCATAGAGAACTTATAAAGATCCGCTTTACATACAAATGACATCTCAAGCCAGAGAGACTCCCACTCTGCATCCAGTAACAGGTGCAGGAACACGCCATCACTCTCTGATGTAATTGCCATCATACGTACTTTTCCCTGTTCCCTCACCTTGCCATCTGCATGCTCATTGGTTACTCATCCTTTCCACACTGATGGTTTCCTGCCCTCAAGCTCCATGTGGCTCTGTCTGCACTGCAAAACTTGCACCTTTTCTTTCCCCCATCCCCCAAGTCTGCCTCTGTCCTTCAATATGCATTTTTCATCTTAGCTCAGAGCTTCTCCTTCCTCCTTTCCCTACACACCCCACTGATGAGT